GGTAGGGATCCTGATTGGGGTGGTTTTGTTTCCTAGATAAGTTTACTAGTCAGCTGATGCCCTTCAAGCAATTAAGATCCTTAATTGCCAGAAAAGAGTGTGATCCTTCATACCTGAAGGCCAACCCACCTACCAACTGGGATTGTCTTACTTTAGCCAAGGGGGATCCAAATGATATACTGTCTGGAGAAGGAAGACACATCTAGGTTTAAAAGACCAAATTGCCCTTACTCATGGTCTCTGGTCATTAGAAGAGGCCATTGACCCAGTTTCTTGGTTATTCTTAGCCTAACCAATAAATTGATCATGCACAGGTCCTTGGCTTTTGCTGAGATGCCAGCATGAATTGTTTTACTAAAAGTATATACATACTAATAAAAAAGTATACATGTTAGTAAAATGCTATCTTGCCCTGGAGAAAACTATGTCTCAGTGTCATTTTAATTCATTATAAAATAGCTTGACTATACATAGTAGTTTGCATGTTGTAACCCCTATTCTGTGAGCTCCTTGAAAGCAGGGATTATCTTGTACTGTATCCCCAGTGCCTGGCACAGAGTAGGCACTTAATAAATGGTTTTTTGACTGACTATTGATAAAAAAATTGAGACAAATAGATGAAATTACTTGACCATGGTCATTGTTGTCAGCCCCCAGTTTGGACCCTTTCCATTTCAACAAAGCACTCCTTTGGCGAAAAATTTTACTGGACAAGGTCTTCCATGATTGCAATCCTTCTGGTGACAAAAGTATTTTTCCTTTGTTGAATGATTTTTTAAAATGTACTAAATTGCTTTGATTTTTAAAAATAAATATTATTAATATCTTGAGGTTTTTTAACCTATATTTCCCAATATATCCTTCTTCCTTTCCTGTTCAGTATATCACAAAGAATAAAAAGAGGGAGGAAAGAAACAGTTCAGCAAAACTAACCCACACACTGAAAAGCCTAATGTTATGGCCAATGTTAACCACCCATATTCCCTCCCACTTCTGCAAAAAAGATGGCGAGGCATAGAAGGCCTTCTTTTCAAAAAATGGCAGCCATATAAGAAAACCCCATTAGGAAAACTAGTAATGAAAGGGTTTTGCGGGAAGGGCACCCCCAAGTGAAAGTACTCTGGACCATGTATTAAAGCATCCACTCTAAAGGAAATCTCCACCCTTTTTCTGTCTTGTCTTTGTTCATCTCATGGTTTTAGTTAAGAGGTGAAATGCAAAGCATTTATTGTGAATCTATATAGAAAGCTAAGGGATATTTTTTTATCTGTAACACAAACAAATGTTTTCCATAGTCTGCAGACTTACAAACACTGGTAATTTTGGCTACAAGTTCAGTGGTCCTTTAGTTAAACCTTTACCTGGACAGGAATGCCTTCAACAACACCTGCTTAGATGGCATTTCTCCATCAAAACATAGGAAATTTTTTTTATAGCTCTGTAAGAAAGCAACCAGCTATTATTACAACACCCAATATGAAGAATTTTTAAATGAACCTTTGAAGACCAAACACACAAAGTAAAAAATTTATATCTCCCCAAGAGGCCAACCCACTATATTATGCACTTAGGCTAAAACAAGAAATTTCAAAGCATGAATTGATTTTAACTGCAATTTGAAATATTGGTATATCTAATGCTACTACTTAACGAATAGACAGAACCTACATTTATGACCTTTTTAACTACTTCTATTCACTGAAAAAGGATAACTATGGTGAAAAAATACCTCCCCTCACACCTTTTGCTGTTTATTTTGACAAACTTTTTGCAAGGACATGGGAAATTTTCCCAAAGTTTCTCCTTGCACCAAATTTTCCACTTGTGTACAGAAAGTACATATATAACTAAAATTAACATATTGACTGAACTTGAGGTTTTCCACATGAATAGTGGCTATGAGAAAGACCAGTAAAAACTATATAGTACAAGAAGTCATGAGGATTAAAGGTGAAACATGTTACCCACTTCCTGCCGGAGAGGTGACGGACTTAAAATTCAGAATGAGGCATGCATTTTTTAATATGGCCAATGTAGACATTTTTTAACTGGACTATATATGCTTATTGTGAGGGTTTTTCTTTAATTGTTCAATGTAGGGGTAGAGATGGGAGGGAGAGATGGTAAGTATTAATAAAAAATAACTTGGTATATAAATATATATGTATTATAAACACACTTTATGTTTACATATAATTATAATACATGTAACACGATTATAATTATGTAAATGTGGTAAATATTTATATAACTGGTTACATAAATAAATGTAATTATATTTAGTAATGTGATTGATGGTTTTATACACGTAAGAGTATATGGTACAACTAGATATGGCACCAAACTGGGTTTCCAGAATTTGAGATCTGGTTTGTTTGGGTTTTTTTTATTTTTAATCTTGTTCTGGTTTTTTCTACTTATGCCTGAGTATCCAGATGTCTTTTTTTTTTTTTTATTTGAGAATGTAGAGATAAATCTCTCCACTTATTGAGAATACTGATAGGGAGACATTCTTTGCTTCTGTGTCTCCCTTTAGACCCTCTAGAATTCTTAACCTTTTGTGTGTGTTAAGGACTCCTTTAGCAATCTGGTAAAGTCTATGGACCCCTTATGGAAATAATAGTTTAAATATATAAAATAAAATACACAGGATTACAAAGGAAACTAATTGTATTGAAATCTAGATATCAAAATATCTTTTCAAAACAAGTTCATGGACCCAAGGTTAAGAACCGCTGTTCTAGAACTTTTGTTCCTCCAAATGAATTTTGTTATTATTTTATCTAGCTCTAGAAATAGGAGATCTTAATATATTTTACCTTTATGAACCCCTTTTTCAGTATGGTAAAGTGTATGGGCCGGTTTTCAGAATAATGTTTTTGAACACTAATCCTATTTAAATATAGCTCTGGAAACAGGATTTCATAATATATGTTTGTGTCATGGACCCCTTTGGCAACATTAGTAAAGCCTGCGAACCCTTTTTTCAATACATAAAATGAAATATGATTATAAAAATATTTTTTTAAAAAAAACAAGTTCACAGATCCCCCAGGTTTAGAAGCCTGGTAGAAAGAAATATGTCAAAATGTCTTTGATGGGCCTGGATAGTATTATGTTCTACCTGCGTGACTGACATCTTAGAAGGCTATCTTCAGACTCCTTGAATTTCAGAAGACAAAAAAAGAGGAGAAAAAAAAGAAAAGAAAAGAAGCAACAGAGGAAAGAAGAGCTGTTAAAAATGGAATGAAAAGCATCTTTTCTCCTATGTTTTGATGAATTAAACAGTTTACACCCTCAAAAAGCTTATGGAAATTAAAAAAAAAGTCACTTCCCTTATAACTTAGCATTTGTAGCCAAGTCAGAGAGCAGTGATACATTGCCTACTATTTAAATGGTCCGAGGCCACTGTCATCAGAGCCCAAATAATGGTGGCAGTTCCTAAGAGAAACTTGTCTTTTTCTTTTTCCTTAGTGACATATAATAGGAGAGCAGGATGTACAACAACACACAGATTTGTTCTGAGTCATGGTTTCTGGGGCCTTGAATATTGTAATTCCTGAAAATTACACTTGCAATTCATGAAATTCTCTGTGACCAAGCTCGGCTGCATGGTTCAGTTTAAGGAAGGTATGGTGTGTGTTGGGGGTGGGGAAAAGTGAGCAGGAGCTTCAATACATGATTCAAAAAACTGTGCTTTGGTTTATTTAATCCTCTGTGGAAACTAACTGGCTGTGGGGAAGTTTAAAAAAAAAGAAAAAACCTATTATATTTCTGCCTTACTAAGCAGCTCTCTTTTAATTTTGCAAAAATTCCTTTTTTTTCTTCACTAGGGACTTAGGTGTTCTTATTCAACTATTATTCTTCCTGCTAATCCTTGCTTCTCAAAATACATATTTTATTATACAAAAAGATTTTAATAATTTGTTATTACTGCATTTCTTGGAAAGGCTTTGCCACTTTTGGATTACCATTATGTCCACAGTATGCCAAAGTGCCAACCTTCCCCATGGAGAACTCATGAATAATAATTCACATTTATATAGCACTTCAAATCTTTGTAATATATTTTCCTTATAACAACCTTTTGAGGTAGATAATAAATGTATGCTTAGCCCCATTTTACAGATGAAGAGATGGAAGCACAGAGAGACAAAGTAAATTAGCCAAGGTCAAACAACTCATAATTATCAAAGCTGAGATTTAAACCCAGGTCCAAAAAAAGGTCACATATGTATGTGTGCATTATGTATATGTATATGTGTGTACGTGTATATGACCTGAGTTAAAATCCAGCCTCACACACTTACTAGCTATGTGACACTGGAAAAGTCACTTAACTCTGTTTACCTCTGTTTACATCTGTAAAATGAGCTGGAGAAGGAAATAGCAAAACACTCCAGTATCTTTGCCAAGAAAACCACAAATGGAGTCACAAAGAGGTGGACACAACTGAACGACAACAAATATGTGTGTGTATGTATGTATACATACACACACACATACATACATGTGTGTGCATATACATATATACACATGCATATATACATATACATACATACATATATATATGTATATATATGGAAGGGGGAAGAGAGAAAGAGACTCATCCTGAGTCCATTGGACACTAGAGTAATACGAAGAATTCAGAGAAGCATGAGAAGAAATGTACTGATACAGAGTGAAATAAGCAGAAGTAGAAAAAGAATATACACAAAAGCTTAAAAACAATGTAAATGAAGAGAAGAAGATATCAACCAAAGAAATCAGACACTCAGTAATTATAATAATCAAAAGTTTGTCCTTAAAGAAGACAGGAGAAAATGAAAAGATGTGGAGGACTATGAGTGTGAAACATTTCATATACTGGCATACTTGCTTGATCTCTTGGTTGGATTTGTTAAGCTGCTTTTGCCCCCTTTCTTTCTTTCTTTCTTTCTTTCTTTCTTTCTTTCTTTCTTTCTTTCTTTCTTTCTTTCCTTTCTTTCTTTCTTTTCTTTCTTTTGTTGTTGTTGTTGCAAGAAATTATTCTCTGAGTAGGGAGGGGGAAGGATACACTTTAGAAATGAAGATGATGTAAAAACCAAAGCTATCAATAAACATTTAAGGATAAAAATCATTACCTTTACTGCATGAAAAACCATAACAACTTTTCAGTCATTCCATCTAAATCTCCATCAGCATGCTATCATTCATTCTCATTCAGTTTTCCATTTAGATTGTTGTAATTTGTAAGTACTCAGTACTCCACTCTAATGGTTCTGCCTTTTTTTTTTTGGCTTTTCATGATTCCGTAAGGGTCATTGCAGATTTTTTTGTTTTCCTCATACTTATCCTAATGGCATTATAGTATTCTATGATATCACTGCACCACAATTTATTTAATCATCTTTTATTATTGTATGCTTAGCTCACTTCCAATTTTTAACAATCACATAAAATGCTGTTAAAAACAATCTTCAAGCAGATAGCTCTTTTGAGTCTTAGATAAGACTCTCAGGGTATTATTTCTAGCAGGGGAATTATTGAGTCAAAGTCCAACATTCTTTCCACAACAATACAATGCCTCTCAAGACAGAAAGATCAAAATATTACACTCTATGTTACAGGTGGAAATGTGGGGCCAAGAAATTTTATGATTTGCTCAAGGTCACCTAACTGCAAACCAGCGGCAAAGGTGGAAAGCCTGAGGCCCCTAGTGTTATACTTAATTCAGTCAGCTGCTTTGTTCCTCAGGGAAGGGAGGAAGAAGGGAAAGAGAATCTTGCCCTTTGTGAATCACAACACTGTTTGGGCACAATACGTGAAGGTCAGACTTTATCATCCAAAGTTATTGGAAGCCATAGTCACAGAAATCTGCAAACTAATTGAAAGGAAACTATAAGAACAGCTTGTTCCTTAGGGAAAGTCTGGAGAGTAGGGGAGTAAGACCCATAAGAACTTAGTAATGAGCAGCTAGGTGCTATAGCAAATAGAGTGCTGCTGGGCCTAGAGTCAGAAAGACTCATCTTCCTGAGTTCAAATCTGGCCACAGACACTTACTAGCTGTGTGACCCTGGACAAGTCACTCTGCCTCAGTTTCCTCATCTATAAAATAAGCTGGAGAAGGAGATGGCAAATCACTCCAGTATCTCTGCCAAGAGATCCAAATGGGATCATGAAGAGTTGGGCATGACTGAACAACAATATCAATAAATATTTGGTAATATTGCTGCTAATACTAATACATGACCTCTATATTTTGCTTTAAGATTTGTGAGCTCTATGCATTCATATTTCATCTTATCCTCACAAAAGTCCTATAAGGAAGACCCTATATGTTATGTTTCCCATTTTGCAGATGTGGAAACATTCTCAAAGAATTTACATGACTTACTCATGATCACAGAGCTAATAAACGTGAAAATAGATTTTGACAGATCATTTTCCACTATATTACATCAAAGAATTATAGTAGTATATCTCTAGAGCTAGAAAGTGACTCAGAGACTATTTAGTTCAACCTCTTTTCATTTTACAAATGAGAAGTGCTTAGCAAAATGCCTGGCACATAGTAGGTGCTTAATAAATGTTTATTTAATTATTGAATTGAGAAAATTGAGATCCAGGGAATTTAAATGAATTGCTAAAGGTCACACAAGTAATAAACAACAAAGGCAGGATTGGAAAACAGGCTCTGAAGCTAGGGCCAGTGCCCTTTCTACTGTACCATATCACCTCCTTAAACCTTCAACAAAATAGTTCTTTGTCATTCTCTCTTAACAATGACTTCTAACACGTCTTCATAGATTTTTACTTTGTATCACAACATGACACAAGGTGAAATATAATGAGGGCAAAGGAGAAAGATCAACGACATCATTTAAGAAAATGTGAAAAGAGAAAGCACATTTTCAGCTCAGGAGATTAAGGAAGAATTTAGGGAAGGGGTGATACCTGAACTGAACCTCCAATTTAGATAAGGGTTTCAACAAACAGAAATGACAGCCAGGTGATAACCCTCACTAGACTCAGGTAGGCTGATCCTCAGCAACTGTTTCTGTTCTGGTCAGAAACTCTGAGGGTCTTCCCCACCCAGATTGATTCTTGTATGAAGGCAAACTAGCCCATCTTTTTTTGCCTTAATTCTTACCTAGTCTTTAATTACTGAATGGGCATTGCTTCAGACAAATTGAGAGTCGGGGAAAACCCTAAAGTCCAAGGTCTCACACTGCATTCAGGGCCATCACCAGTTGCGATGTCACTGGACTCCAATGACTCTGGAGGAGTGAGGCTAATGACTTTGTACAGCCCTGCCTCACTTAAATCCAATACACTTGCAAGTCAAGACATCACCCTCCTGATGTCATTGGTCCTCTTTGAGAATGAAGGACAAATAACAACAATGATTTTATATGTGTTTTTGTTGTTATTGTTCAGTCATTTCAGCAGTGTCTGACTCTTCGTGACCCCATTTGGGGTTTTCTTGGCAAAGATACTGGAGTGGTTTGCTATTTCCATCTCCAGCTTATTTTACAGATGAGGAGCTGAGGCAAACAGGGTTAAGTGACTTAGCCAGGGTCACACAGCTAGGAAGTGTCTGAGGCCAGATTTTAATTCAGGAAGTGTCTTCCTGACTCCAGGCCTAGCACTCTATCCACTGTGCCACCTATATACACTTTTACAGTAAATATAGAAAGAGTTTTCATAGTATCATAGTCATTCATTCAACAATCTTTTTTTAAACTTCATTTTTTATTGTGAATTCAATGGACACCAACAAAAGAACATTTCCATATCCAAAATAGAATAGGACTATATGTGAATCCACAAATTTCTATTTCACACAGCTTGCTTTTAAAAAATGTATTATAATAGAAATATGTTTTACATGACTTCACATTTATAATGGATATTGTGTTGCTTGCCCTCTCAATGCATGGAGGAGGAAAAGAATTCGGAACTCAAAATTTTTTTAAATGAATGTTAAAAATAAATAGATGAAAAGTATATAATAAATGCAACTAAAATGTTACTTTCAAAGCTACCCTATTTTTCTATCTCCTTTGGACATTTCTTATGTTATCTAGTGGGCACTTAAAAACACTTCAATGACCTTCTTTACTTTCTTGTCTTTTTTGGGAAATACTATCACTACCTTTTTTCTCCCCTACATTCCCTCCCTGAAAATTTTTAAAAAGAAAAAACATAATCCTTGTAACAAAAAAGCATAGCCAATCAAAACAAATCCTCCCATTTTTCATGTCTCAGGAGGTAGGTTTCATTCTAGGTAGCCTGACTTCACACCCTCTTCAGGAATGATCCATCTGGACAGAATTTTGCTGCTTCACTGAACTGTCACTGCAGCTGGAACCTGGGCAATTTATCCATTCTCCACTGCCTCTCCCTCTCCTGCCTCATCACTGCTTCGTGAACTGTCATGGCTAACCTCGAGTTCCTGAAATCTTGAAATCTTTGTTTATTTGTTTTCTGTCTATTTATATATAGAATTTTGTCTCCAAATTAATATTAGTTGACTTTCACTAAATTCTAAGTAAATGTTTACTCTCAAGGAGAGGACCACTCAATGAGAAAAGACAAAAGAGAACCCATCAACAAATAGCCCTAGATTTAACCATACACCTATATTTGAAGTGCTCTCTCCTCTTTCTCTTTCTTCCTCGCCTCTCCTCTCTCTCTCTCTGTCTCTCTCTCTCTCTCTCTCTCTCTCTCTCTCTCTCTCTCTCTCTCTCTCTCTCTCTCTCTCTCCCTCTCCCTCAACTTTACTTTTATGTAAAGTGTCAAGTAAAATAAATAACGAAACAGAAGGGTGGAGGACAGTTGTCATATCACCTGACCTTCTTTTAGGTGATTGGAGCTGCACAAACGTACTTCTCTGTAATGTCATCATCTTTCTGGTACTAGAAACCATACTGGCGATTTGTCCTTTAAAAAAAAAATAAATGAGGAAGACTCAATTAGACTTAGATGAAATCTGAAGTGGATTGAATTCTGGTCAGCGTCTAATCACTATGCTTCCTCATGGAGTGCCTGGTTCCACTTTGCCTGTTTTAAATTCCATCTGTCTTACTTCTTGCATGCTTCAGTTTCTTTCAACAAACGTTTGTCTCTAGTTATATAATTTTTTTTAAAAAAAGGTTTGGAAGTAAAAAAATCTGACATTTCGTCATCTTTTTTCCTCTGGTGTATCATGCTGCCAGAAGCAATATGAACTACAATGATAATAATAATAATAATAATTATTATTATTACTATGAAAATAGATAGAGAGATTTAAGATTTGCAAAGTACTTTCTATACTTGATTACATTTGAGCTTCCCAACAAAACCTTCTCTGCCACTTATAGCCTTAGGGAGTTGTCTAGAGAGCTAAGAGGTTAAGTAACTCATTCCGGGTCACACAGACAAAAGGTCTCATCTCAGAGGTGAGACTGGAAACCTGACTCTTCCTTGATTCTGGAATTTATTTATAGAGAATAAATAGAACAGCTCTCTATCCATCATGCCACAGTAAGGGAACAATTAAAGGTATTATTATTTCATAGATGAGAAAACTTAAGTTCAGGCAGTTTTGCCCATGGTCACATAACTAGCAGGTGTCAGAGGTGGAATTCTAACCCAGGCCTGTGCTGACTCCTGGTCCAACACTCCCTTCACTCACTTTCGTCATCTCTAAAACATCATTTTATTTCTTTGTTTCTTTTTTTTTTTTAGGTAATTGGGGTTAAGTGACTTGCCCAGGGTCACACAGTTAGTAAGTATGTCAAGTGTTTAGTCTGAGGCCAGATTTGAACTCAGGTCCTCCCAACTTCAGGGCCCGTGCTCTATCCACTGTGCCACCTAACTGCCCCTAAAGGGCATCCTATTTCAATGAGGTTGTTTTGAAGAAATTGTTCAAGCCCCGTAAATAGATGTTGTACATGGGAAGATCTTGGTAACCTGAGGTCACCTCAGTTGTGTCAGGGAAGCAAATCCAACCTCACCCACTGGTGAGGTTAACAGACACAGAAAACAGCCCTGAGCGCATAACAGACCCAAGCATCCAGCAAGGGGACAAATACAAGTCAAGGTCAGATTTATTTGGGTGACACTGGAAACACAGATATCAAGTTGCAATGGGAAGCAGAAAACAAAGTGTGACAAAGGTCACAGGACTCGGGTTTTTACCAGGTAAAGACAAGAGGGTTTGGAGAAGCAATCAGTTCTACAGGTTGAGACAAGGTAGGACAGAAAGTCAGTTTAACAGCACGAAGGAGAACACCTGGAGCATTTAAGTCCTTGGCTGCTTTGGTGATGCCTCCTTCACCTGGTTCACTGGTGATGAGTCTTTGTGTGTCCAAGCCTCCCTAATATTCCCATGTGTTTTTGTATATACCACAAAACAACAACAGCAACCACTACCATGCCAAAACCAGACTTGGGGACTTTATTAGGAATTGCTTTCCCCAAAAAAATTTTAAAAAGAAATAAATGAATAAATAGAATTTTAAAAAAGAATCGGCTTTCCTCTGAAATTACCTCCCATTTACTTGGTATTTATTTTGATTATACATTGTTTTTTGTATGTTGTGCCCACCTTCCATCTCACCCCCATTAGAATGTAAACTTCTGGAGGAAAGGGACCAAGTTTTTGCTTTTCTTTGTACTTCTAGAGCTTAAGACAACACCTGGAACACAGTAAGTGCTTAATGAGTACTTGTGGCTAAACAGCATTTCATGTGCCAGGATTTCTGGACAAGTTCTTTCCATAAATGAACTATTATACTGCTGTTGTCATTCAGTCCTGTCTGGCTCTTGGTGACCCCATTTGCGGTTTTCTCAGTAAAGATACTGAAGTGGTTTGCTATTTCTTTCTCCAGATCATTTTATAGATGAGGAAACTGAGGCAAGCAGAGTTAAGTGACTTAGCCAGGGTCACACACCTAGGAAATGGCTGAGGCCAGATTTGAACCCAGGAAGATGAGTCTTCCTGACTATAGGCTTAGCACTCTATCCTCTGCACCACCGTATCAGCTCTATCAAAAAACCAAAAACAAACAAAAACAAAATCCATGATTTTTAAAAATCATTGAAAAGAATCCTCTTCCCTCAAGGTTTTTGCTTAGGTGCCACGTCTCTTGTGAAATCTTCCTTATTTCCATCACCCATCTTTAGTGCTCCCAAACCCTTCTAAAAAAAAATTTTTTTTTTTGGAAAAGTAAAAAGGTGCCACAAATGGTGTGGTCACCAATTCCATAATAGAAATGTGGAAATATTGTTAGCAGACAATAAAAATAAATTTTAAAGCTGTGTGAAAAGATTTAGTGTTGAAGTAACAGTCATGGGACTAACATACAGTTAAATGCTCTTTTCACAACTCTACACTTTGGGTGTTCATTTAGTAAGAAAAGCACAATCAGAGAGGCAGTGTGGTAATGGATGGAGGGGTAAAATAGAATCAGAAAGACCTAGGTTTACGTCCTGCCTTTGATATGTACTGAATGTGTGACTCTAGGCAAATCACTTGACCTGTCAGTACCCTTCTCCACTACCTCATTCCTAATCCCTTCCTCCCTCTGCTTCCTTCTTACCCCTTCAACCCCACTCTCCCCCAAAATGGAGCAAACAGAAAGGACAACAAAGAGGAAATTCAAATGAGGAGGTAAACTTGGAGGTAAAATGGATTTCCCTCAGCAAAGAATGGGAACATTCTTTACTCAAGAAGTTATTTCCTTTTTAGAAAAATCATCACATTGACATTAATAGAGATTTTATTATTCAGTCATTTCCAATTCTTCATGACCTCATTTTGAGATTTTCTTGGTAAAGATATTGGAGTGGTTTGTCATTTCCTTCTCAAGCTCATTTTACAGATGAGCTGAGGCAAACAGGGTTAAGTGATTTACCCAGGGTCACACAACTCCTAAGTGTCTAAGGCCAGTTTTGAACTCAGGAAGATGAGTCTTCCTGACTTTCAGCCCAGTACTCTATTCACTGCACCACCTAGCTGCCCTACAAGATATAGGTTGGTAGATAGATAGATAGATAGATAGATAGATAGATAGATAGATAGATAGATAGATAGATAGATAGATAGATGGACAGATGGACGGACGGACGGACGGACGGACGGATGGATGGATGGATGGATGGATGGATGGATGGATGGATGGATGGATGGATGGATGGATAAATAGAGCAAGCGAGCTAGCTAGGGAGTGAGGGAGCACTTATTAATTGCTTACTGTCTTCCAGGCATGGTACCAAGCGCTGGAGATATACCTTATAAGCAAGCAAGACAGTCCCAGCCCTTGAGGAGTTTGCACTTTAATTGGGGAAGATAACAAATATAGAATATGAGTTGGGAGGGAGATTGATGGGGACAACGGCTAGAGAGCAGATGGTATGATATGGAGGTGGTCCCCAGCAAGATTTTTGGAGGTGGGAGGAACCTAACGGCAAATATTACAAAACCATTATGGTTTTAATTACATTTTTACCTCATTTTGTCATCAGATACATTTCTAAAAAGTTACAAATAAAGCAAAACTTCGTATATCAAATCTCATTTTCCCATTTATTTACATCATTATTGCATAAAGTTAGAAAGATTTCTAATCTTTACACTTGGCTAAAACATCCAATAAAAATTAAAAGAAGGCTAACCGTCCTTTCTAGGAGCATTTTGCTTTTGCTAATGCATTTAATCCCCCATTGTAATTCCTTGGAACTAAAGTTAGCCAAACAAGCAATCACAGGATCATGGAATCATAGGATTTAGAACTGGAAGTGACCTTAGAGATCACCCAGACCCACCCCCTCATTTTCTGGGTGGGGGAAAATCAATCTGAAGTGCAAATTTTGCACACTCAGCAGAAGTACCCACATGCTGAAATGCATCATACATTCACATTTCCATGGGATTTCTTTTCTGTTCTCTGGGATCCAAATGTTTAAGCAGCCACAATGGTTAAGCCAATCTCTCCCAGAATTCAGCAAAATTCCTGGCTGGAAGGCCCCATAGAGGTACTTACTTGTTTAAACAGAACTCACCAGTTCACAAAGAACTCTATACATATTTCTGAAATGTTCCTTAAAAAGGAAAAAATTAAAATGTTTAGGAGACTCCTTTTCAATCCTCATTAAGTTTTTAAGTACAAGCAGACTTTAAATGACACCACCAAGGAATGGGTGGCATCTTTAAAAATCTATTTCACAGTCTGGCCTAATGCACAATATCTTTCCACTTTCTAGAATATGGGTATTACTCAGCCTTGCAAAATATAGTTGCCCTTTAATTGATTAAATGATCAATTAAACTAGTACACTGAAAGCAAATTGAATAAAAAAAAACTCAGGAAAAGGAACCTGATTTGGAATTATACATATACACATACATGTGTATATACACATACGTACATACATACACCTTCATTCTTTTGCAGGTACACCAACTTCTGTTTCTTGAATCCTCTGTGCTCAGGCTAAGGAAAGGTGGAATTCATGGAGTTGTTCTTTTTTTTTTAAATGCTATCTTTAGATTTTCATCTTTTTCAATTAGTCATTTTCCAGACAAACTGCCAGCTGTGCATGGTTTGCTCTTTTTTCAGTTCTTGCTAGGATTCCAAAATTCTAGATCTACAAGTACAAGGAAATGTCCTAACTTGCAGTCTAATTGTGCAAGTGTGTATTTTGGTCTCTGCTGCTGCGTCAGAGCAATGCTGCTGTTGCCATGGAGATAGAGATGTTTGAGTCTGCTTTGTCACCTTTGCCCTGCTATTTAAAAACACACACTCACTGCAAAGCGCTGGCAGCAGAGGGCTTTCTTTGAGAGGTCACCCACCTTTTTCTTTTCTCTCTTTTTTTTTAACAGCAACTTGACAGATTAATGCCATTTTCATTTATGACTGGTATAAAACATAATGTAAATATCCTCCGACACAGAGTGAACTGGCAGTTTTGTGCGTCCTCAAATCCCAATAAAAGAGCAAGAACCTTAAAAGTTTCCTGGATCCAGTTCCCCCAATAATTTCTCCTGATCTGTTTCTGCTGTGGATTCTAGAGACTCCTCCAGACACCAGCAGCAGGGAGTCATCAGAATAAAACCATAAATAAATGAAAATAAGCAAAAACAGTTGAAGGAAAATTATTCTTCAAATTGCTACTTTAAAAAGTGCTACTCTATATTACTGTGCCCTCAAAAATTATTAATGTAAAGAATTCAGAGAAGTATAGGAAGACTTTTATGAATTGATGCAGAGTGAAATAAGCAAAACCAGGAAATAACATAGAAAAGGATTGTTGCTGTTTAGTCATGTATAACTCTTTGTGACCTCATTTATGGTTTTTTTGGCAAAAATACTGGAACTGTTGAGCTATAGATGTTACGGGTGCTGGGACCCCAAAATCACAACATGTGAATGAATTCTACCCAAGCTTTCTTTCAGCCAAAGACAAGGTCTATTAAAGATGAGCCATACAGGTTAGACTCTTAAGGAATCTGAACATTTGTGAGGCTCGTAAGGACAAGCAGTTATGAGGAAGTCTCAGCCCCTAAACCACAGCCAGGATGGATCTTATATACAGCTAAGCATTTTGAGGTGACCAGAGGAAGGACTGGGAGGAGGTGGGGTGACTATGGGGGAAGGGTCCTGGGAGAATTCTGATGGGAGTGCCCAGGAGGTTGAATGAGGTCATCCAGGAATAGACAATGCCTTTATTAGGGTAACAAAGAACTGGAAGATAGGGTCTAGAAGATAAGGAAGAGGTTGAATGGGGTCTGGATAAGATCAAGGATGGAACCCATCCTTGGGTTGGGAATCAGGGTATAAAAGAACTGGGAGATAGGGCCCAGAAAGGGCCAGGAATAAGAATAAGAATGACTTCTGGGGACTGCTAGACTTCCTTGACCAGGTAAAGGTTCAAATAGAGTTCAAGAGTTTTCTGGGGCCCATGGACAAACGGGACCCAAATTCTTTTTGAGATGAGGGGCAAAGGTCTTGGCTTGGGCCCACACCCCATCAGAATGGTTTGCCATTTCCTGCTCCAACTCATTTTACAGATGGAAACTGAAGCAAACAGGGTTTAATGACTTGCCCAGGGTCCCACAGCTAGGAAGTGTCTGAGACCAAATTTGAACTCAGAAAGATGAGTTTCCTGACTCTAGGCCTGCCACCCTATCCACTGTGCCACCTAGCTTCCCCTTTCAATGATATAAAAAGCCCCAAAGGATTGCCTTAGAAGATCACTGATTCTCCCTGTTCCATGTGCACCCAGTGTGGTCTGCATAAAGACACTGAATCCACCTTTGGCAGTTTTTTCTATTCTTTCAGCACATCTTAATGTACCTCAGGCAAAAAAAAAATAGAGAGACAGACAGATATACATATACACATATACATACATACATACATACATACATACATACATATATATATATATATATATATATATATATATATAGATCAATTTTCTGAGAAATACTGAACTACTATTTGTTCATCTTGGTCAGAATTGATCATGGTCTAGAGCTATGTACCAGCATAGAGAACGATCCCTAAATTGGGGAAGCAGCAGCTGCTATTGAGAATCGAGGCCTGCAGATGAGGATATTGGATATTTAATAACTTCATCTCATCTCCTCAGAATCCTGGCACTGGAGATGTAGAAAGGGAAAAAAAAAATAAACCTCACATAAACCATAAATAAACTTGCTGCCATGACACAGCTATAAATCTCTACACATGCAGACACAGATAAATTTATTTTTATCAAATCTCAGCCACAGTAAGCTCACACAAAATGACAGGTCCGTCTCACAGTGATGGGGGACCAGCCCGCTCAAATCTGCCATATTTCTTTCCTGCCCTGACCGAAAGGTCTTTGTGAGGCCAGTGTGATGGGCTGAGGCACGCTGCATGAGCGATTGGGAAATCATCTCAGCTCCTCATTACAGGGGTGGAGAGTGTCCCATTAAACCCAGCAGCCCACTGTGAGGAGCCAGATAAACCCTTGGGTTTTGACTAAGCTCAGAATAGCACGATGTGTATTGCCACCATTCAGTTTTACAGTGAGGATTCTGAACTGACGGCAGGAAACTTAAAATTGCCTGGCAAGGGAATCCGGACATTTCTATCACCTTGCTGTGTGCTTACAATCTTCATGTGGGGCCAAGGCTTCATTATATGACAGGGAAGGGAGGTTGTAGGCCCCATTCCCCCCTGGCTCTCCTTAGAACTTAGTTGTCAGATTTTCATCAACAGTCAGCCCTCCAGGAGTCATAATATTGTCCTGTAACCTGGCCAGCAAGAAAAAGCAAAGGGAAAAGATTTCCCCAAGTTTCTATTAAATGAGTGTTTCTGAAGACAGCTTGAAATCATGAGAGACTCATCAGTTTGGGCTTTGGTTTTCAAAAAGAGATATTTGACAAAAGGCAAAGGATAGAAAACTTTAGGTTACGTTGGTTAAAAAAAAGACAACCATATATGTTATTAGGAAAACCTCATGCCATATTCCTCTTATGTGCATAATGTATTGTCCTTTATATTCAACAAGCTACAAGATGCTACATTGTTTTTCTTGAAACCAGTCACAGTAGCATATGCAAAGCACAGTAGGCTCAGAGTCAGGTTTCTGCCTTCTATAAAGAAAGGCATTGAGAGGAGTTTGGTGCTCTTCCCTACAGCCCACCAGTCTGAGGAGAGAAGAGACTGAGGGAAGTGGTGTCAGTCAAGGCTTGAGTTAGCAACATATTGAGATTAGAAGTGAGGAGTTTATGCTGGGAGGGGCATCTTGTTCCAGGGCGTTGAAACCAGGCAGAGCAGCAGATGCAAAGTGGAGACTTCCCCATGGAGTCCTAGGAAAATGAGAGGTTAATATAGCAACATTCATTCCAGTAAGAGCCTAGCACTGTGCATTACAGTTTGTAAGAACTAAACAAATACTTATTGAATGACGTGCAATATTAATGGAATTGAAGAGGGAGGGGTATGAGCTAGCAGAAAGTGGTAGAGAGATCAGACAAGTGAGAAAGCCAACAGTGAGCAAGCATCATAGGACTTGTGAAAGATAACTGGTGTCATACATAATCTCCTCATACCTTTGGGTTTCTTATGTTACTTTGACTCAATAATGAAACTGCATAGGTATGCTAGACATTGGGGTGTGTGTGTGTGCGTGTGTGTGAGAGAGAGAGAGAGAGAGAGAGAGAGAGAGAGAGAGAGAGAGAGAGAGATTCTTCTCATTTAAAGATTATCCATTTTTCATTCAAAGGATACCTAGTTACTTTGGGATAAATTAAGATTAAATTAGTTCAACCAGAGGTGTGCTGGGCTCATTGAAAGCTGATTATAAAATTTTTAGTGTATTTACACCTCAGACATCAGCAAACTTCAAATCAGGGCTTGGTTTTTTATTTTGTTAATTATCTATACTTAAGAAAGGATGGAGAAAATGCTAATAATGCAGACCAAATTTGTGCCTGGTGTACTTTTTTTCAGAAAGCTGATTGTTAAATAAAATTTACCGGCACAACCCTGAATTCTAACTATTCTTGTAGTACTTCTTAAATCCCAGATGGGGTCGAGAAAAATTTGGCAACAGTAAAAGGTTTCTGAACTCGAAATGATCAAAAAGTAATGCAAAATCAAACGCATAATGAATCTGAGGTGTTTCTGGCAGCACTTGCCGCTGTCGCATCTCACAACTTCACTGCAGCCTTGCTTCTGTACACAAAGTTTGCGCACATTGCACTGTGCATGCCCTCAGGCCACAGAACGCCAACAAGGGGTCTGAGTGGAAAAAGTTTAAGAAGCCCCACTCTAGAGAAATCCTCAGTCCCTTCTTTTTCTCACTTAGTCAACAGAACATTTTCAGAGTTACAGATTCCGCACTCTGCCCCCTCCCATATCAGTCAATCATGAAAAAGTTTGATTCTCTGACTTGAAGAATGGAAAAAGCTGGCAATCATCTAGTATTTTCAGGTTTGCAAACTACTACATACATAGTATCTCATACAACAAGCCAGTGACATAGATGATATTAATATCCCCATTTTACAGATGAGGAAAGTGAAATTTGAAGAGATTAAGTGACTAACCTGGGGATTAGCTTGGATAGCTAAAAGCTTGGATTTCCCCTAGGGAAAGATTTGAACCTAAGTCTTTTTCACTCTGAGTGTAATGCTTCATCCACTAAGCCACCCTTTCTCTAACAACATATTGAATTATATAGAGAGTTAAATATTTTAAAAGTTCTTTCACTTCTATTCTCTCATTTTGTCCTCTTATTTTTTCCAAAAAGAACATTGAGTGGTTTAAGTGACTTGTCCAAAATCACAAAGAAAGTTGGGTACTAGAATGAGGACTGGAATATCGTTTTATCCCCTATCAATCCACAATACATTCTGGAATTAGATTAGAGTCACATTAAACTGTGCGTTTCACACTGGAAAGCAGGGACTGTCTTTTCTGTTTCTTTGCAACCCCAGCACTTAGCACAGTGCCTGGCACATAGTGAGCTCTTCATAAAGTTTATTGAACAACTGACTAACTGGAGTTCTATCTTAAGTACCAAAGGCCTCCTGCACTTACTCTGCTATGCTATAGATGAAGAAGAAAAGGAAGAAGAAGAAGAAGAGAAAATAGAAAGAGGACCTCTAGATATAGGCTGCCTTAAGATTTGTCTCTTTACTTGTATTTTTAATAGGAAGTAAAATATATTTAAAATATGTTTGTATATATGTTTAATGGGAAGAAAGGAACAGAATGAAACAGACAAGTTAGAAGTGTTTCCAATAAGATGGGGGGGGGCACGGGGCAGCTAGGTGGTGCAGTGGATAGAGCACCGGCCCTGAAGTCAGGAGGACCTGAGTTCAAATCCAGCCTCAGACCAAACACCTGACACTTACTAGCTGTGTGACCCTGGGCAAGTCACTTAACCCCAATTGCCTAAAAAAAAAAAAGATCAGGGGTGAAACAAGGATGTCCATCATCACCACTGTTGTTCAATATGGACCTAGAAATATTAGCTTTAGCAATAAGAGAAGAATATAATATTCAAAAGAAGGAAACAAAGCTATCACTCTTTGCAGATGATATGATGGTATAAAAATTACTTGAAATAATTAACAACTTTAGCAAAGTTGCAGGCTACGAAACAAACCCACATAAATCATTGGCATTTCTATATATTACCAATAAGGCCCAACAGCAAGAGATAGAAAG